AAAAAACAAAATGAAGCAAGTTCTTTGCACAAACTGTACAGACTATAAGCGATTCAAATGATTTTAATAATAAAAAAGAAGTACCAGTCAATCTATATTTCAATGGAGTGGACCAATTAGCACTGTTCATTTTATAAAATGAAACCAGGGTACTATCTTGTTCATCCATAGTATCAAACTGGTTGATGAGTAATGATAGAGATGGACAGTGTGAATTGATGGAGAGCAACTCATCACAGAACATTCGAGATGATTTGAATGGGTCAATTTCATTTTTCCATGCTGAAATCAAATGAACAATTTATTTAAATACAATTTTACAAGCATGGTTGAATAACAATACAAAAAAGATGAAAGAATAAATGAATAAAGATGCACTTATCATTTTACAGTACAACAGCACTAAAAAAAAATAAAATGTGTTGTGTCTAACCTGCAGACAGGGATGTTGAAGATTGTGCAGTTGAGGGTCCTGGCAATTCTTCTGTATTTAAAGTGAATGAAGAATCATTGTCACCAAAAGTCCTTTCTCTAAAACAGGCAAGACACAAACAATTTCAATTTTGTTCATTAAGCCACTTCAAAAATTTTCATGCATATTAAAAGCATTTGCCCAGTTTCATAGACAAGGCTTAGACCCTAGTGCCAGACAAAGTCATTAATGTCAAAAGTCACCAGTAATGATTTTCTCAAAGCAAGGCTTATAAAAGCTACATACATCAAATCTAATAATGTCTACTACTGACCCAGTTTATGAAACCAACACATTAATTTAAATTTAAGACAGTCCACCAGAAAATTATTTTGTTAATTTTTTACCCTACATTCCATCTGATCTTTGTACATCTCCCTCGAGATATATACAACCAAAACAAACTGTGCAAACTAATCCTTTAGTATTAAAGGCATGTCATCCTACAATTTTTAGCATAACTTTACCCTTCACCACACATGCTTGCATGAAAAGGCAAGACATCAGTTGGGAAAGAGATCTGGCAAATTGGACAAATCTGTAAAAAGTAAAAATAAATTAAACAATGTTTGTAGCAAATTTGTTGAAGAACATACATATTCTACCCCATAAAAAGATTCTAAAATATTAAGAATAGTCTCAAATTTTTAACAGCTTCAAACACATTCTTTATGGAACCACGAATTGGGTATATTCAAATATAGTGAGTATACCCAAATACAAGAAATAGGCTTTGATCAAAGACCTGTAAT